AACAATGGCCTGGATAGGGGTTAGTATCAAAATACGTAAAGAACTTATACAACCAACTCAACACTAAAAAAAATAATCCAATTTAAAAATGGGGCAGAGGACCTGAACAAACACTTCTCTCTAGAAGACATACAAATGGCCAAAGGATATAGGAAAGGATGCTCAATTTCACTAGCTATTAGGGAAACTACAATGAGATACCACTTCACACCTCTTAGAATGGCTATTATCAACATGACAAGTAATAAGTGTTGGTTGTGGGAAAAAAAGGAACCCTCATTCACTCCTGGTGGGAATGTAAACTGGTGCACCCACTATGGAAAACAGTATGAAGATTCCTCAAAAAATTAAGAATAGAATTACCACATGATCTAGCAACTGCTCTTTTGGGTATCCATCCCAAAATTTTATTTTATTTATTTTTAGAGAAAAGAGAAGCAAGCACAGGAGGAGAAAGACAGGGAGAGAAACATATTGATGTAAGGGAAAATTAGTTGCCTTTTGTAAGCACCCCAATGAAGCACTGAACCCACAACCCACGTAGATGCCCTGACCAGGAATTGAACCAGTGACCTTTTGCTTTATGGAATAATGTCCAACCAACTGTGCCACACCAGTCAGAGAGACCAAAAACATTTTAAAACATATATTCGCAAAGATATTTGCACCCCTGTGTTCACTGCAGCATTATTCACCATGACCAAGACATGAGAGCAATCAACACATCCCTCAATAGATTACTGGATAAAGATGTGGTACACAGGAACAAGTATAAAGGACACATGGACAAAAACTAAGGGGGGTAGAAATGGGAGGGAGGTGGGCAGCACTGGGGGGTGGACTGGGATGGGAGTAAAAGACAGAAAACTGTACTTGAACAACAATTAAAATAGATAAATTTAAAAAGAAAAGAAAAAAAATGTGGTACATATATACAAGGAAAATTACTCAGCCATAAAAAATGCAATATTGCCATTTGCAACAACATGGATGGATCATGAGAATATCATGCTAAGTCAAATAAGTCAGAGAGAAAAAGTCAAGAACCATATAATTTCACTCATATGTGGGATATAAAACTGAAGCAACAAATGACAAACAAGAAAACCAACCAAACAAAAACTCATAGACAGAGACAACAGTATGGTAGTTACCAGAGGAAGGGGAGCTGTGGGAGTAGTTAAGGGTAAAGGGGGGTCAAATATATGGTGATAAATAAAGATTTCACTTTGGGTGGTAAACACAATAAAATATGTAGATAATGTAACATAGAACTGTACACTTAAAACCTATATAATTTTATTAACCAATGTTACCCCAATAAATTTAGTTATAAAATAAAAGAATCTGTGTTCTGTTGTTAGATGGAATGTTCTCTGTCTGTTAGGTTTACTTGGCTTATGGTATTGTCCAAGTTCTCTGTTTCCTTACTAATCTCTGTCTAGCTGTTTATTTATCATTGACAGTGGGGTATGGAAGTCTCCAACTATTCACTATTGTAGAACTGTCTATTTCTCCCTTCAGTTCTATCATTGTTGGCTTCAGATATTTTGGGGCTCTGTTTGGTGAGTATATGTTTATAATAATTCTATCTTCTTGATGAATTGACTTTTATCAATGTATAATGACCTTCTCTGTCTCTTGTAAAAAATTTTAACTTAAAGACTATTGCATCTGACATTTGTAAACTCCAGCTCTCATTTGGTTATTATTTGCATGGAATAGATCCTTTCACTTTCAACCTATTTGTTTCAACCTTGGATTTAAAGTGAGTCTCTTGTAACATATAGTTGGATAATTTTTAAAAAATCTATTCTGCTAATCTCTGCCTTTTGCTTGGAGAGTTTCATTCATTTACATTTAAAATAACTACTGAAGGAAAAGGGCTTATTGCTGCTATTTCACTATGTTCTCTGTATGTCATATAACACAGGTGGCAAACACAAGGCCCACAGGCTGAATCTGGCCCTCCACCTTATTTTATCCCACCCAGCACCTTGCTTTTACCTGGTGACAGCGCCAAGCTCTCGCTTAACTGTTAAGTGGTTACATTTATACAGTCCTAAAATTATATTTGGCCCTTTGAAGGCAACCGGAGGCTGATGTGGCCCCTGGTGAAAATGAGTTTGACACCCCTGTCATACGTTTTCATTCCTCATTTCCTTCATTACTACAACCTGTGGTGTTCAATTGATTTTTTTTGTAGTGAATCATTTTGATTCCCTTCTCATTTCTGTTTCTGTATATATTTTAGATATTTCCCCAGTGGTTACTATGGAGATTACACTTAACATCCTAAATTTATAATAATTTTATTTGAATCAATAGTAATTTACCTTCAATAACATACAAAAACTCTGCTCCTATAAGGCTCAGTCCTCTCCTTACGTTGTTATTGTCACAAATTGTATATTTATACATTATATGACAATTAACACAGAGTTATAATGCTTGTTTTATAGATTTGTGTATTAATTCATATATGAAACAAAAAGAAGAGCTGCAAATAAAAAATACTATAATGCAGGCTTTTATATTCGCCAATGTAATTACCTTTATTAGAGTTCTTTATTTTTTGGTGTGGCTTCAAATTGCTGTCTAGTGTTCTTTCATTTTGGCCTAAAACCCTCCTTTTAGGGCAGGTCTACTAGTGACAAACTCTCTCAATTTCTGTTTATCTGGAAATTCCTTAATTCATCCTTCACTTTAAAAAAGATTTGACAGATATAGAATTCTTGGTTGATAGTTTTTTTTCCTTTTGATACTTTAAGTACATCATCCCATTGCATGGAATCGAAAGACACAATACTTCTCTCCTCTTTATTATCTCTTTCTTATCTTCAACATGTTCTTTAAAATTGAGAATCTTCAGTTTTTCTTCAATTATTTTTTAATCTCTTTCTCTCTCTCTTCTCCTAGGGCTCCCATTATGCATATGTTGGTCTGACAAATCTCTTTGACTTTGTCCATTTTTCCTCATTCTTTTTTTATTTCTCCTCTTCAGACTGGGTATTCTTCAGAGGACCCAGCTTTAAGTTTGCTAATTCTTTCTTCTGCCTGCAAAAAAATCCTGCCTTCTAAGAAATCTTCTAGTAAATTTTTCATTTCTGTTACATTTTCAGCCCCAGATTTTGTTTGGTTTCTTTTTATTTTTTCTATCTCTTTAATGATATTCTCTATTTGTTGAGACATTATTCTTCTGATTGTCTTTAGTTCTTTGTCCCTTGTTTTTTTTTCCTTATTTAAAACATTTGTCTAGTAAGTCTAGTGCTTGTTTCCTCAAGAACCATTTCTGTTCATTTCTTCTGTGAATGGATAACATCTTCTTTGCATATTTTATAATTTTTTGGTTGAAAATTGGACATTTTGAGTATTTTAATGTATTAACTCTGAAAATCAGATTAGCCTCCCTTTCTCAGGGTTTGTTTTTGTTGTTTGCTATGGTCTATAGCTGTTTGTTTAGTGCTTTTTCTAAACTGCTTTTGTAAATTTTGTCTTCTTTGTCATGTGTGGTCTGTGAAGTCTTGTTCCTTTAGTTTATGTTCATCAAGTGTTTTGACAAGTGTTTTCTTTGAATGTGCCAGGAACCAAAAAGGGGGAGAAGGAGGGAAAGGAGTAGAAGGGGAAGGGAGAGGAACTCTTAAAGTCTTTGTCAATTGGTTCCATGTTCAGGTACTCCTTCAACACTTAGGCAGACTGTTTACAACACTGCCTTATCCTTCACTCCTTGCTTGTGCTGAGTCTAGAATTCAGCCAGAGGTAAAAACTTTGGGTCTTCTCATGTCTTTTTATGCTCATGTGTCCTTCCCTAGGCATATGCATGGCTTTTAAAATTTCCCAGTATATGTGGGTGGGCTTGAATGCCTAACTTCCTAAAGAAACTCTCTGCCTAAGTTTTCCTCCCAGGCTTTCAGGATGCCTATTGTTTGCCTCAACTATATATTTTTTCCCAAACAGCATACTGTTCATTTATCTTACAGGTGTTTTAGAGAAATACCCTCTGCATAGCCACATTTATACACTGGGTGAGTTCCAAGTTAGGTGACACAAAGGTAAGCACCCTGTGTCAGTCCTTCAGGTAGCCCCCACATAAATTAGAACACACACAATTCTTTGAGATAAGGTCTGTTCTGCTCTCTCTGGAACCAGGGACCAGAGTCCCATACTGACAATAAAGGGTTGCCATCTTCAAGACTGCGGCCAAGGTGGAGAGATGGGTGGGAAGTCGAGTAAAAATACTGGAAAGCTTCCTGCCACTTTTAGGTTACTTCCTTCTTGATCCAGTATTTTCCTGGGTGTTACAAACTTTTGACTATTTTCCAGAGTCTGACAAAGTTGATTCTGTCACTTTTTTCTTGATTTTTTGGCATTTCTTCAAAAAGACAAGCCCTTGGAGCTACCTACTGTATGGTTTAATTTTTACATTCAGTTCTCTGATGTACGTGGAGTTTATGTTGGCATATTGTATGAAGTATGGATTCAATTTTAATTTTTGTCAAATAACTATTCAGTTGTCCCAACTCCATTTATTAAAAAGTCTGTCTTTCCCCGAGTATTTTAAAATGCTAACTTCATCTACTTTTATTTTCTATTTTGTTTGATTGATCTCTGTCTATTTATATACCAACATTATGCTGTATTTTTATAGAAGTTTTATAGAATGTTTTAAAATCTGATAGGACTAGTAACCCTTCACTGCACTCCTTTTCAAGGTTTCTTGGCTATTCTTGCTTGTTTATTTTTCAGTGAAAACTTCAAAACCAATTTGTCTGATTTTAGAAAGCCATCAATATTTTGATTGGGATCACACTAAATTTATAAATTTACTTGGGAAAGAGTGATATTTCTATGATATTGAGTTGGCTTATGCAATTAAACGATTTTTCAAGTCTACTTTTACATATTTTTGGAATACCTATCTTTTTAATTGATTACTCATGTTCTAGGAAGCACGGAAGTGAGGCAGAGATAGGAGTACAAGACAAGAGTATTCTCCATACCTGCAGACACCTGTGCTTGGGATTCAGTGTGGCGCTGGCAGACTCTACTCAAGAATTCACTTACTTGACGCAAGGAAAGGGCATTATGCAGTGTTTCTAGGGGGTAGACGGTAGGCACCATGAAGCACCCTTCAAATCCTGTTAGAAAAGAGATGGGAAAAGTCAATATTACTCCTGCCAAATACACCCCAACTAGCCAAGGAAGCATGGAGAGTCCCTGAGAGCCATCAGGAGAGTCCATGGCTCATGGAGTGTGGGGTATCCAAGACTCTTAGGAAAGGGAACTCTTTAGAGCCCCAAAAGAAATCTATTTCTGTCACCTCCAGACTTCCTAAAAAGTCTACCTGCCAAGGCCTCCAGGTGAATCAAATCACCTCTCATCCTACCTATGGAGAGCCTGCAATGTCCCATGGAAAATTCAACAGAATCCCAATAGGGTAAGCACCTACACTGCTGTTGCACTTTCTGGAGGAATAAACCAAAGGTCCATAGGTAAGGGGTGAAATTGTAGGTGTAAATGAGGTTAGGGAGGTCATATGGAGCTGGGAAGAAACAGCAGATTTCAAGGATCATGTATAAGAGAACCAGATTAAGGAGGGGAGCATGTAATTTGAGAAGGGGTTCGTGCAGATATAGGATATGGGTAGAAAAGCTGGAATATTTGGAAGCAAGCTGGAGGGCATGCAATACATATGGAGCTCAGCCCGGGAAAATCACATGCATGAACAGGCTGGGGGATGGAAGTTCTTTCTTGGTTATTTCCATCACATCAAATGTTCTCCCTTCTGCCCTCAGTGGAAGACCCCAGACTTGCTAGGATTTCTTTATTCCATCAGGAAAACAGGCAAACACTCTAGAAGAAACAATAAACACTGATTCTCTGCTCTGAATCCAATACTTCCAATGTAGGTCCACCGCTAGGGTAAAGGGTTAAACTAAATGTGTAACCCTAATCCTAGGGCCTATTGAAACAAAGGGGAAAAAAACCTTCCCATTGGAGAACCAAGAAGCATACATCCCAACCACTTTTTCGGTCTCCAATCTTTCCTATGCCTCCTCTACATCTCCTTCAGGGGACTAAGGATAGGCAGGACAGCAATATCTATGCAAGACATAGTCTCCTATTCACCAATGACTAAAAACTCCAAGGAATTATACCTCATCATTGTCTAACTTCTGGCCCGTGTTTGCTTTGAGGATTCAATTGAGACCTCTGTGCTTCAATTGCTCCATGTATTCTAGTGGCAGGAGAGCAAGAGAGGTACATTCTCTAGCTCCTCAGAGTGGGTAGAAAAATGCCTGAATTTAAAGATGTTGGTAGTATAAGGTTATAGAGATAAAAATATATTCCAGGGCAAGAGAGTACTTTTGTACTTAATAGAACTGGGAATGGGTAGCATTAGGAGGCAGTGAGAAAGGAGGAGCAGCCAGTGCTACAGCTACCAGGCAGTCTGGCACCAATCCCATCCAAGCAACTAAATGCAAATCACATAACCTCAGGGTAAATAGGAGAAAGGAACAGGTGGGCTCTCCTGCCAAAAGTGCAATAAGCAAAGCAGTCAGTCCCAGCCAGGGTAGTGGCAGCAGCCAGCTTGGTGGTAAGGGGTACCGTAGAGGCACTCGGGGTCATCCTGGCCTGAGCGCAGCCAGTTCCGGAAGAGGCGCAGGTGGTAGGAGCACTGGTGCAGGTGATGCGCCAGCGTGGCATCCAAGGAGACTGGCCGGCCCCCTGGGCAGTCAGAGGAAAAACGGCGCAGCAACCGGACCACAGGGTGCTGGTCATCCAGCAGCTCTGGAGGGGTTGGGGGGTACCACGGCAGGGAGCACAAGATAAAGAAAGAGAAGAGGGAGAGACAATGAGGGGGGCACTGACTGGCACAAGCATTACTGGGAAGTGTAGCCACTCAGCTCCAAGGTGAGCTAAGAGAGAAGCAGAGATGGTCAGAGCCACTGGGCATCTCTTGCAGGAAAGAAGAGTGTTGGCATCACACAGTGAGTCTAAAAGAAGGGGGTAGTGAGACCTCATCATACAGCAAGACCCTCCCCTTTCTCAGTGAGCATAATTAAGTCAGTGTTTGCAGACAGAAGTCACATCATTCGAGGTGGGGGATAAGCAGGCTTGGGAGTTCTGTGGGAGGCTTGACCAGAGATCAGGTACCCCTGATTATTTTTGGACAAACTCTGGGTAGGGCCTACTCCTTAGTCTAATGTATTTATGAGATTGAAATAGAGATAAAAAGATTCAAAGTCTCTCAGAGAAGAAGGTCAAGAATGGTACAGGGTATCAAGGTAAAGTTTGATGTTAAAAAGGCTGATAAAGGTTCAGGCCAGGCCCTCTAGACCAGACTCTGATAACTACAGAGAGGGCTGGTGTTAGCTGGCATGGGAGATTGGAAGGAAACCAGGTATAAAACAGAGCATGTAAAAAAATGGAATCAATATGTGAAAATGCCATTATTGGTTAATCATCCTTTACCTTTGTTCAAATATACAGATTCAAAAAATTGCTTACATAAATCTCAGGACTTGGGAGACTCTGTTTCCCTTAAAGAAGCCAAAAGTTAGATAATTTTATATTTTCTTCCCACTGCTGGTGGGTCGAACTGCACTTCATTCAGCTGGTCAGTGGAAAAGCTTCAATCCTGAACCACTTATTTTTTTTTAAGTTTTATTTATTTTTAGAGAGAGGGAAAGGAGGGAGAAAGAGAGGGAGAGAGACATCAATTGGTTGACTCTCACGCACTCCCAACTGGGGACCTGGCTCACAATCCAGGCACGTATCCTGACAGGAAATCCAACCAGCAACCTTTTGGTTTTGGGGCCAGTACTCAATCCACTGAGCCAAACCAGCCAGGGAACGAACCACTTATTATTTTAAATGCTTGGCAAATTTTTTGGATATGTGCGATTCAGCTGCAAAGGACTGAAGATAGTTAAAGGCATGTAGAAGGGGATGTAAAGGAACAGTAGGGAAAAGATATGAGGTCTTAAGATCTTATGACAGAACGTTGGTACAGAGGTAGTATCAAGGTACCTGAGAACAAGTGCTCGGAACTCCAAGACCAGAACTGGTTGCATGGGGTAATCCCATCAGACTACAGTTTCCAGAGACCTTAGATTGAATGTCAGGAGAGATTTCAGCTGCACCCAGGCACTAACTATACCAATGGTGAGACAGTTGTGAGGGTCCCTAGGTAATAAAGGGCTTGGCAAATCCAATGGGCACACTGACTTTCTGGATAAGGGTGAGCTACAGTCTCTTTTCCACTAGATTAGTTTACTTTAGTGAGTTCAGTGTGCAGTTTAGTAATGGGCCATATTTGTATACTTCACATAGTCACAGGATGTGACCAAAGCTTATCAGAAATAGAGGCAATGATGGGCTGAGAGATGTTTTCCCATCAAAGCAAGGATACAGCATTACCTTGACTCCTTTCTAAAGCCTGATGCAGTTTTACCAGCTGCTGTTTCAAAGCCAAACATCATGGCAAGGAGATGGCGATGATGGGACAATAGGCTGGCACATTGTTGTGAATAATTTGCCACAAGCAATGCAGGCAGCACATCCTCTCTGCAATTGCTGGGTCAGTCAAGCAAGATCTGGCCATGGGGTAGAGTGCTCATATTACCCTGACGGTCAAATTAAATCTAGATAATCTTTAGCAAGAGACAGCATAGGTCCAAATTTCTCTGATTGCTAACAGGTAGATCCCACAGATTCTGGTTTTTAAGGACTGTAGCCTCCAAGCTCAAGTACAAGAAGAACAAAAGCCAGAAGACCCCTGAGGAAGTATGCAGGGCGTTGAAGAGATCTTGAATTTGCTCTCCTGCACTATACCTGAATTTTCCAGGTCTTTCTTCCTCTCTGCCTTTTGGTAGAATTAATTCTTCTTTTCTTCAACTCATGAGGCTGCTAACCAAGGCTTCAGGGAACTAGAGATATATATGTTTGAGGATCTGTTTTATGAATTTGTATCTTTTCTCCTAGAGCCTAATAACTAGGAGATCTATGATTTGACTTTGATTTTAGAGGCCAAGTTCCTGGTACTATATTCCGTACCTTAAGTAACATGTCTCCTAAGTCCAAATCCCAGGCAGTAGCACTGGGGTTGGTACATGAGGCTCTACTCTGGAGATGATGATTGTGGCATGTGAAGGCCAGAAGAGCTTGAAGCCAAATGTGAAGATACAGCCATGCCCATCTGAATGGAGAGATCCTGTCACAGGCATAAGTGGAAGCTGGGGTGGGGGTATAAACTGAACAAGTATAAGCTAGTCAAGTTTAGAAGATTTCAGCAGTGCCTAGTGGAGATGTATGGCCCAAGAAGGCTAAAATCTAGCAGCTGCCACTGGCTGAGAAGCAGGGGATGAGCACCTGGAAGTTTTCCAACCAGAAATCCTTGCTAATTTTACCTCCCTCACAGAATCTTAGCTCTTGGATGGAAGAAAGCCATATAAAACAAAACTAGATTTATCTTGAAGAGACAACTGCAGAAAAAAACTAAAGCTAAAAAAGTATAAAACCGGAGGTAAGTCCTGGGTTCCCCTGCCATATCCTACAAAGAGACCACAGCCCTTCAGTTTCTGGTTCCCACCTTCAATTTCTGGATCCCATGTTCAGTTTTTGGTCTGCCACCTTAGTGTGGGAAGACCCAGTTCTTCAATATTCTTGAAATATTTTTCATTCCTAAGCTCCCCTAGAATATTAGTAAACATCACTTCAAGTTTCTCTGAGACAGCAGTGCCATAGGTAGGCTGGAGCTACATGAAAACCACAAGTAAAAACTCAAGGTACAATTCTTTTTCCTCTACCTACTACCTCCTACTTCTTTCCTTCTCTCTTTTATCCCAGGTCAATCTGGGCTCCTGTTTTCTATGCCCAGGCCCTAGGTTAGTAGTAACATAAAGCAGATGTCAGGAGCACAGGAACCACACCAAGTACACATAATGGTAAGAGATATGAATATGGAGATGGGAAACTATATACTCAAGACCAATGTCTTTTGGGGTATGCTTGGGAGCTGGGAACTGCAGCATTGCTCCTGAGGGAAACAAAGTAGTTATCCACTCCAACAAAAGAGTTGGAGGAAAAACAAGAAGATCAAAATTACATAAGCTGAGCTGGGGTGGGGGGGAGATGAAATGAGGATAATATAGGAAATGCTAGTCTCTTCCTAAGAAGGGGAACGAGTATTATGTTTATACAAAGCCCAGCAGTCATGTGATGGGAAAGGGAGAGTTGTAATTAATGTTTTGGTGGTGATGTTGAAAAAAAGTGACACAATGGTGATGATGGTGACCATGGAAGTAAGACCCTGAGTTGCCACAGGGATAGGGCAGCCAGGCTGCAGCCAAGGCTAAGGTTTGTCACACAAGGGACATGTCCCAAGAGGGACACTTAGTGAGTGTTTCATTCATAGACAGCAGGGTGTCAACACAGTGGAAGGAGAGGCAAAGTCAGTGTCAGAACTCAGAGGTTAAGTGTCTGGAAGTGACATGGTGAGGATGAATGACGTTGGGTCAGAAGCAAACGTACCGTTAGTCGGATGCTTTGCAAACGACACAGAAAATCGTTTTACGGCCGGGACAAACAAGAACTCTGGGGAGAAAAGACATCATGGGGATTATACCCACACCTGGCCCCACTCCCTGCTCTGGAATTTGCCAGCAATCTACTCTGTTCTTTGCAGTTAGTATATGACATGCTCCCACCCCACCCTTAGATTCCTGACTACCACATTTCATTTTTTTCCTTTGGTATAATCTTTTCTTAGGAATCCATGTGTCATCTCTACCACCATACAGCCCCACAAACAACCTGAATTTCACCACCACATCCTCTTTCTCATCATTTAGAAAGCTGATCTTTGTAGAAACTTTCATCCCATCCTCCAGTCTCTTTCCATACCACCTTTCCTGCCTTGGCTAAGCAACTTCCCCATCCCTGATTTCCTAAATTTTAATCAAGGCTCCATTGCATTCTTCCTGACCTTGGATCATCCTTCTTGGTCCTTTTCCCTATAGACCAGAATCCAGGAAAGAATACAAAGGTGAAATAAATTGATGTAGCAGGGCTGTATGTGGGAGTTTATGAAGGGATAAGCATAAATAACTAATACTTATATGGTGAGAGGGAATGCAAATGGAGGTGGATGGGGTCTTGGTTCCTTCTCCCCTCTACAATTGATGAAGAAAACTTGTTAAAAGGCCAGTGTCAGTAACATCTTAAGCATGAATAGTTCTTGAACTATATCCTTGCTGGAGGACAAATGAAGAAAAAAGAGTTACCCCCAAACCCACCCACATACCATCTCGATGCTTCATACTGGCAGGTGGTAGCTTTTTGCCATGGCTGCGAGCGTAGTCCTGAAGATTCGGGGCGCTGGAGGAGCCACCCAGCACTGTGGTGCTGAACAGCCCTGTGCACTGTGAGCCTGCAAGGCCGGGAGTGCATTAGTAGCCACGCAAAGCTGTAATTACCATACAGAAGTACACACAACATCACATGACAACATCAAGACACACACACACTGCCATTCAGAGCCAACATCAGGTGGCTACTACACATAGCCATAAATGGCTTTCACTACTTTCACAGCTACACTGGGCAAGCAAAGTAGGGATTCTCCTGAAGATCTACACAGCAGATACAAAGGGCCACTACAAATGCAGGTTAGTGATATTAGGGGACTCAAAGCTACTGAAAGGGATAGACTGTGCTTTCCATTGGCTCTCAGGAATACTAAAAGAATAGGCAATCTGTCTAGATAGCCCTAAATTTGATTCAGTGTTCCTTACCCTGGATGCAGGGTTTGAAAAACCCAAATCTAGTCCATTATAGGTTTAAAAGGAAAGAACTTTGACTGAAACTAGAGACTACATTTTGAACACTCCTCTCAAATCTCAAGTTCTCCTGTGTTTCAATTCCTCCTGAGTTTTTCATTCCACATTCCCTCCCTTCTCTCTCCCACTGGGCCTTTTTACTTTTCCCAAGAAAGAAAGTATGAGACTCACTGAATGTTTAAACCTGAAAAGGGCTAAAAAATTATCCAGTTCAACCTTCTGATTTCAGAAATGAAGATACTGAGATACAAAAGGGATCTCATTTGCGTAAGGTCAGACAATTTGTTAGGAGCTAAGCTGGGCTAGAATCCAGGCCTCTTGACTCTGAGATCAACTGTGTTTGACCAATAAAAAAACAGTTTCTTTTTCATCAAGAAGATACAGATTGTTTCTGAAGTGAAGACAGACACAAATTGAAAGGCATGAGAAGAGTCAGGGGATTATACGTAGAGCATGCCTACTATGTACTGAGCACCATACTAAAAAGGACCTAGTAAACAGGAAACAAAAAAAAAAAGATGATTTTTTTCTACTCTCAAAAGTTTGTCTTATAAGCCCTATGCTCAAAGTCAGATGTCCACACATATAAATTCAAAGAAATCAAAGAGAACTCTATTGCCAATCAGAGGAGTAAATAAAACTTGAAAAATCTCAGAAGCAAATAAATCAAGCCAATTACTGTCCCAAATATCTGGTCAAGAATAGGGTTGGGACTCATCGTTCCCTCTCCTATTACAGCCCATGAGGACAGAATGGGAATGAGGAAATAAGAGGGACAACCTCATTTGTGGGATTTACCCCTCTACTTCCAACTCCATCTTAGCCAAGACCCTGGGTTTGGCTTGGGAACTTAACATTCAGAGGAGAAATGAATAAAGTAGAGAGATCAGTTTCTTCTGATCCCACAAAGAAGGGGCCACAGCTTCAGGGGTCCCAGCATTTCAGGGTAACCACAGAAATTAAGAAAGCTCAGATGCTGAATATCTCCACCCTGGAATTCAGGACCGCTCTTCCATGCAGCAACTTCTCTGACCTTTCACGCTCAAACAGGCTCTAGAAATGAGGTTTCGGAGAGTAATAAGTGTTGCTAAATATGTCAGTTGTTTGTTTGTTTTTTTCAGAGAAGCTGAAACTAGCTGGCTCTGTCCCAGACCACCTCATGTTTTTTTACTTCCTCCAGTAAATAATGTTCTGGTGCAGTCCTGCCAATCATGCCCAGCCCAGTCCTTAGATCATCTCAGAGGGTAGTCGCTACCTAACCAGCACCATCTGTTAACTACCATGTCGATACCTCTGCCTTGTTCTTAACAGCACTCCCACTTAACTGGACCAGACACACTTATCCTCTTTTTCTGCCTACCTGAAACCTATTCTTTACTGGGACTTCTAGGATGAGAAGCCCTTACCACAAATCTACACCTCTCTCATTTATTTTTCAAACTACCTACCTCATTTCAGGAATCTAGCAAGCAACCTACTCCCATAAAATTAGCCTGGAAAGTTACCAAAATATTTCTCTCTCTGCTGGCCCAAATGCTGACCACTTTGGGGCCAAGAAATTGGGTGCCAAGGACAAAGGTAACAGAAAAAATGAAAGAAGCTAAATGGAGAGAATAATAGGACAAGAGAGAAAGAGCTAGAGGAGCAAGTCCAGACCCCACACAATTAATCTCTAACTGCCATTTCTAGTTATTGTCTCACAAGGCACTGTGTTCAAAGATAGCCCCTCCCAAGGACCACTACCCACCCCCAAATAATACAATACCCTCTGAGGCTTGGTCCTTCCTGCAGTCTTTGTTCTTAGGAAAGGTTGAATGATGTTCTCCACCCCTCTCCAGGAATCAAAAAAAATCAAGAGACATTCCCTCAAAGTCCTGAGAGAAGCCTCTGCCACTATACCAGTCTCAGATTTGTCCCTCAATTTTCAGGAAGAAAGGAAAAAAATTACAGGATTAGGAGAGGATGAAGGAGTGGGAATGGAGGTGGGAGGGGCCAGAGCAGGGAGATAATAAACATAGGTCTCAGAGGAAGACATGGCACAACTTCTCCAAATGAGGAATATGACACGTATGGGGGTCACGAGTACCTCTATTTATAGCTCTGTCTCTGATAACTCTGAAGATTCAGAGTCTCCATGGCCCCTTAAGGTCTGGGCTAGACTGGAGGGACAGATAAGGGATAAGAGGAGAAGCCAGAAAAATGCCCTTCAGCCAGATAAATGGGGGGTTGGTACCAAAAACCAGAAGACAAACACCTTTTTGGAATGAAAATAGTCATGTGGTATCAAAGTTCACACCTAAATATGGCTTCTCCAAATTCATCCTCCCTAGCCCCACCAGACAATTCTCACAATAAAACTCTGAAGAAGAGACAGACAGGTGAGAGATGCTGCAAAACCATACCTAGGCCACTCTGCTTCATCTCCGTTGGTGGTCGTGAAGATGAAAAGAGCCGGTAGCCACCAGGCCTGGAGGATGAAGTCTCAGAAAGCACCTAGAGAAAAAGGTCTCTATGTTACCATTTGCCACTTCAACATAGCAGTCTAAATAAAACCCAGACCCTGAATTCCTGCCCAAACAAAGCCAAGCAATGTCAAAAGGTTTGGAAGAACTAAAGGATTTTTAAGGGGGAAGAAGAAGAAAAGGAAACAAAGAGTGTATTTTGCAGAGGAAGCTGTCCAGAGAATCCTACACTAAAAGGCACAGTTATTTCCAAGATGCCTGTCCCCCTAGCCCTCCCATCCCAAATCTGAGAAATCATTCAACCATTCTTAGTTCTCAGCAGAGCAGGATTCCTTAATCATATCTATCCCTCCAGCAGGACTTAGAAAGCCCATCACAATAGCTCAGCCACAATGAGAAGTAGTATGGCCACCCTCCCTTCTTTCCATGGGAGAGCTGTGGCTATGGAAACCATACTCAGTTTCTTATCTGAATCAAGAAGCCCTCCCCTCCTCTCCTAGACACATGAAACAGATTTCTAAAAAAGCCCACAAGCATACCCAAACATACATACGCCCACCCCTGACAATGTTCTGAGTCCCTAAATCCCAGAAGGCAAAGACAGGTGCAGAAAAGGCAGATGAGGTAGGGAGGAACACCTCTGTGCAGGACGCCAGGTGAGTGGTGGACACAGCCCGGGGCTGTAGGCCGATGGCTGGGGAAGGCCGGGGGAGGTCTCCAGACCTCCGGCGGCGCCGTCCCCTTAAAGGAATCAGGTCCAGGTTCCCCGTGCACTGCATGTTCATGACCTGAAATCAGACCGGGTAGAAAGCCGGTCATAGCTCCTTTAACCCCTAGTGGCTATTGGGCAGACCTAATTACAGGGCTGAAGAAAATGACTGCCTAGGGCACAGCTGCTGTGAAGGTCACAGATTTTTGTATTTTAAAACAGTCCAAAAACATGACATGACAAGAGGAGAAGGGATGGGGGAATGACTGTAGTTGATAGGGATAATACAGAACAAGGAGAGGAATTATTAAAATTAAAAGGCTGTGTGACCAAGGAACATGCAGATGGTTTTCTTGCATATCTAAAGAACACATCTTGGACAACCATCATCCTAGATAAGCAGCACTAATAAAGGAAGAAATGTGATTATAAGAGGAAGATTCCTGTAGGTCTGAAAGCAAGAAGTCAATCTCATCAAGTCCGAGCGATGACACACAGAGGGATCTGTCTTTTTTATGTCTCTTAACTGCTTAAACCAGAAGAAAAATGGGGTCAAGCACAACAGTGCCAGAGAGACTGGCAGAGCATGTGAATAGGAAGACATTTAGATGAGGAGGACTTTATTGATAGAATATTATGTCATTCTACCTATTTGATCTATCCACCTGAGTCTGAAGGGTACTAGTGTACTATGGATACTAAGTTAACTTACCCCTCAGAGAGAAAATGATGCATATCCCACCTAAAGAAACTGAGTATTCACAACTTCAAATCCACTTTAAAATCATCAGAAAGAAAAGGATGAGTCTAGAACAGGAACTAGTTTGTCTTCTCAGGTTTCTCCAAAATCTTAATTATAAATTTCTTGCTGAACCTATGTAAGCTAGTCAAAGACACTTCGGAGATGTTCACAAAATGGAAAAACCAATTCCTTTAAGACAGAGCTGGCACAAAGCCAGAAACAGATTCATCTATCAAAACAGGACTCAAATTAGACAGTCAGAGTTCACGACACTGGGATAGATCATGGGGTCAAAAGAGTGTCACTGGGCCAAAGAGGGAAAGAATCTTTCCATGAAAAACAGACCAAAACCCCGGAACAGTTAGCTGGATACATGTGAGATGTACAACAGCTCCTTTTTCTAGGCTATAGAACTAGGACCAGGACTAGAGACAGACTCCAAGAGCAGCAGAACACAAGCCCATAGCCATAAACCTGCTCATCAGAACAAAGGGCACTTGCTTTCAGACTAGATTCCCTTTCTAGGATGTTCTAGGATGAGAGTATAGATAACCCTAAAGGGATTAATTTAAAGTGCCACCTATTTGCTCTTGTATGAGCTATAATTTTTATCCAAGGTCACACAGAAATAGAGAAGGCCTAGCCCTTAATATTAACTATGTCGTTATTATAGTTACTATTTACTGAGCATCTACATGGTCAATACTACTTATATTTAACAGATGAAAAACTGAGGCTTGGAGATGTTAATTGTCCAAGGTCACACAGCTTCAAAGTATCAGACTGGGATTTTATCCTAGAGTTCATGCTGTTTCGACTACATTTCCTTTTCAAGAACTGCCTTTTCAAAATCATCCACAAGCCTCCTCCTCGAGCTCATCTCTTAAAATCCTATCTCACAGGCACCTCTCTTTAGAATCTCTTTAATTTCAGAAATAGCAACCAGTTTAAAGGAGCATTATTTGGAGACTGGCTTTGAAAAAGAGATTAAGTAAAACACACCCATCGGGGGCAGGAGAACTCTACTTAAGGTCCCAAGAATCACCCTCCAAAGGGATTCAGTGGATTCATGGATATTGTTCTATGAGCACTTCCACTACTTCTTTCCCCCAAGCACCTCCCATTACCTCCATGGAGCCAGCTTTTCGGTTCCAAATGAGGGGTGATCTCTTTGGGTGGCCAGGACCCTCAGAGGGCTGTGGTGAAGTCTGCAATGCTCGGTCTGGCTCATCTGGTGCCTTCCTCGGGCACAGATTCTCCATGCTGCCTTGGTCTGTTTTCATCTCCTCGTTCTATGCAACAACAGACACAGATAGGAGAGGTGTTAATGGCCTCCAGCCTCCTAACCTCAGACTTCCCAACCCTTTTACCTGCCTACACTGTTTCCAAGTTTCCCACCACTTGGTTCCTAAATCCTCCAGTCCTAAATCCCAGGGCTCTAACCTACCTCAGAAGAGGCTGGACGGAATCCACAACCAGCTGGGGCACTGCCTTCTTCCTCGACACCTTTTACGCCAGGGCTAAAGTGCAGCTCCACATGGAATCGCTCCTCTGATAAGGGATCCTATGGGGCATCAACAGACGAAGGAGCAGTTGGAGGAGCTAGATATGGCAGCGGAAGACTAGGCAGGGACAATAGAGAGGAACTCAAGAGGATATATTCTCCAAGGGCCGAAGTTTCAGTGTCTCACTCCACTCTGTGGCTCGTTTATTATAGCTTCCCTTTAACTATGGTCTAGTGTTACGTACAGGATTCTCATTCCCTCACCACCACTGTCTGAGATTCACCACTTGGCTTGACTTTCCAACCTCCTCTTCTGTGACCCTCTCCTCCCATCTCCCACAATAATTCAGCTTTGCTTCGGTGCATACAGTAGGAGATATAAAGATATCTTTGTGCAGGCAGATGAAAAAGGTATATGTGTGACAATTTTTGAGAGAAAAAGACTCATTATAACATTGTCCCAAATTCCATACCCGACCTAATGCCAGAGCTATATGTTCTGTGGTATCTCTCTGGCTCAATACCATTCCAAAATTCTTTTTCTGTTCCAGTAGGAACCTCCTAGATGCTCTGTGCCTAAGTGTCACACCTAGCAGGATTCTACAAATTCTAAGGATAACAGTTTTTTCCTAAAAGGGGATAGAGGAGAAAGAAGGGGCTCTCTCCTCATCCCACCCTGTTAGCTCCTCACCCGTGTATTGTCCTCATAGAGCATGATGACAATCTGGGTCATGTAGTTGAGTTCTGAGATGGCACCAAGGTAAGCCAAAGCTCGCTGCCATTGTGCATCCTGGGTCTCCTACCAAACACAGGAAGGGGTAAGCCAATGCTTACCAAGAGAGTCAGGGAATGGGCAGGGAAACAAGGGGAACAGTGAAAGCTTACAGTAAAAAAAGAGAGAGAGAGAGAGAGGGAGAGAGACATGAGGAGGAGAGTAAAAGAATGCAGAGAAAGATGTTCATAGCCTGAAGGAAGAATAAAGATCCTTACATCAAGAAGACCCCCATAACGGAAGACACTGAGTAGAGAGTGGACGTGGCTTTCGCTGGTAAAATAGAGACGTGTTCGAACGTGGCGGCCTGGGGAAAGCACTCCTCGGGAGTACCTGAGGTAATAGCTTAGTCACTCACATCATCAGATAATCCTCTTCCCACCCCTCCACACATTGCCTCTTCCCATCTCAAACACTTCTCTCCTTTTCATCCCAGGATCCCCTCCTTCTCTTCTTGGTTCCCCAAGCTGTCCCAGCCTGGGTTCCCCCAAGGGCTCCCCTGACATGCCCCTCCCTCCATCCAGCACCCCTCCCAGCCCTCCCTCACAGGGGATGCAGCTTGTTGACAGACTCATCCTCGTGGGTTCTCTGCAGGTCAAGTAGTATCTTCCGCAACAATGGAAGACAGAAGCCCACGGCAATTTCCAGTTTCTCCTCCCGACTGATCCCGTACTCCTAGGGGCCATAGGCCAGGAATAATAAGTACTCAATGAATCTGGTTTTCCTCTTGCCTCACACTCCCAGGCCTGAGGTCATGCCTGTCTTTACCTCTGGTCTGGGACTTCTTTCATACCCACCACATTCCCCCTCTCCAGGTTTCTCCTCAGTCTCTTATACTTACTCAGAGCCAGAGAAGACCCTGAGAATTGTAGCAACTCGTCTAATTCCTTCTGTAAGTTTCCTTGTCCTGGCTCCCACACTGCCCCCTCCTTTCTGCCTTTTCTCTCCTTCCTCACCCAATGCTCCAATCCATAAACTAGATCCCTTATATGAGACATACCTGAGGAATGACCACATCAGCCAATGCCTTAGAGAGACGTAGCAACTCTGCTGTGCCTTGAAGTCCCAGACTCGCATTATGCTGTACATCATACTTGACACAATCATAGATGTCAGGAATCTTACTGATATCATAGCGCCCACTCTTCTGTCGAAAATCACGCTCCAGCTTGCTCCAACGCTGAAGCATTAGCTCTAATGTCTCACTGTGGTAGAGCTGCAGGTCTGGAAGGAAGACAGAGAAACCAAAATTTTACTTCTAAAAAAGACCCTAACAAACCTGAAGTAGAACCAGAGAGATGAGGATGCCTTATCATTTAGGAGAGAACACAGCAGTGTCTGAAAAAACCATCCCAACCTGAAACCTTGAAGGGAACATGGTATTCATACCCACCTACAGACTTGGGGTCCTGCATCCGTTCCTGGATCTGGTGAGTGAGGTTTTCAATCAGGGCAAACACCTCATCACAGACCTTCACAGGATTCTGAATGATAGCCATGGAGTTGAGTAGAGCAGTGCTTCCAGTGGGAGCCAGCTGTTGAGTACAGAGAGATGAAAAGCAAGATAGGCTCAATGCCAATTGCCCAGATTTCTGTGAGCTTATTACAGGAACTGCTTGCAAATAAGATCTGTTTGTTGGCTCTCTCCAATGAGCACTCTTATGCTACTGGGCACACCAGCTGCTCTAGGGCCTTCTGATGAAGGAACTACTCTAGCACACAGTCATCTGAGATGGGTTGATGGTAAACATCTTGGAGTTCACATGAAATAAAATAGACTTAAATTATTTTCTGGGGGGTTCTAAAAAAACACATGGAAAATGCTGGGGGAATAAAGATGAAACCCAAATCCCTCAAAATATTCATAGAATATTTCCATGAGTGGGTAATAAAGATAACATTATTGTATTCCTCTAAACAAGATGATAGCTTGAACCTACAATAGAGGTGCTACCTCAGAACTAGGTAGCAACTCAACACAGAATGGAGAGACAGGAAGAGGATTGTGGATGGAACACACACATTCTCTACCTAGATCCTTATGAGTTCCATTCCTGCTAGTAAAAGGAAGCAAGGCTGAATGGGAAGGTGGCTTAGTTTTTTTGGATTTGACATTAAGCAGTGGATTGGAAAATAAGGGAGCAAGGTCATACCCTTGTCAAGTCCTGCTCAGAGAAACACAGAAAAAGCTGTTCTCTAGGCAATGTGCTCAGCTACTTAGCTCATTTAAGACTCTATTAGAAATGGTTACACAACACTATGAATGTACTTAATGCCAGTGAACTGTAGACTTAAAAGTGGTTAAAGTGGTACTACAATTTAAAGAAATAAATAATTTTTAAAAAATGAGGAACTCAGTGGTAGAATGGTGGAAAATCATAGTCTGGCACATGATCCCCAGTCAATAGTGGCCTGGACACATATGAAGAAGGAAGGCATTATGTAACACCATCCACTGTGAGGCAGTATACTGCAGTGGCTAATAGCCTGGGTTCTTAGGTTAGTCTCCTTGGGTTTGTACTAACTGGGTAACTTTGTAAAGGTTGCTTCAGTTCTTCTGAGCCTAGGTTTCCTCATCTGTAAAGTGAGGAAAAAGTAGTACACGTCCACAGTTCTTATGGTAGATCAAAGACAGCCATTCATTTTGTGTCACCTTTGCCTTCCTTTGATTCTAGGCTGGCCCTGTGACTGCCTGACCAGTAAAAAGTAACAGAGTTATGTTGGGCTACTTCTGGGCCTATACTTTTAAAGAGCTTGGAAACTTCTCCTTTAGTGAAGTCCATTTTCAGAAGTCTGGCTACCGTGCTAGAGAAACCATTTGGAGAAAACATGTGGAGAGGAGAGGCCCTGAGACCAACGGGAAAGCATGAAAAGAGAGAGAGCCCAGCCATCCCAGTATCCTAGTTGAGCCTGCAGATGGTTCCAGCTCCAACATCTGGATAACATCTGGGCAATTTTAGGAAAGACCTCAAGACCAACTGAGCCTAGAACTGTGAGTAAAACAATAAAATATTGGTTGTTTTAAGTTACTGAGTTTGGGGATAGTTTTTTTTTTATGCTACAATTAATAATTAAAACATTCTTTCATTCAAAATCCTTAGGACCAGTTGTGTTTGGAATTGAGAATTTTTCAGACTTTAGGAAGTTATTACAGTTCATATGCTATATGTTACATAATACCTCCAGCAAGGCCTAAGGCATCATCAAACACATTTATATTTATGCAGCAAAATGTATCACTGTTTACACTAAATATCTTAATAGGGGTTAGAAATATTTATCATGTCGGATTTTGCTGCCAAATGAATCTTGGTGCCAACCCTATAAAAATCCTTTTGATTTTTGAAATTGCAGATAAGAGATTATGGCTCCATATTTATCTCAAAGGCTAAGAATTAAATGAGATAATATATGGAAAACATGTAAAATAGTGCCTGGCACATGATAAATACCATTTTTGATCACTATTATTTAGAATTCTAGGAATTTTGAATCAGGGTTATATTGGACAGCAAGATAGGGGGAGTCTGACCTGTTCATAATCCTCAGGGCCAAAGGGTGCATCCCGCTGCAAAATATGGTGAAGTTGAGCCTTCACCCGGTGCTGACAGCTGCTCAAGGAATCACCATCGCTGTCCAGGAGCCCATTCATGTTGGCGCTCTTCACCATTTGTACCAAAATGGGTGTCAGCTCCCCTTCTAGAGCCAGAAGGCCCTGGAGAGGAAGCACAAAATCTATTCATTTTCCTTCCAGTCTAGCATAGTCCTCCAAGGCCTAAATGGTCAAATGAGAGCTGGCTAGGAAAAGCCGGGTATAGGTCAAGGGGCCTACCATCACTAATTATTCTCAGCTCATTCTCAGTATTATAGAATGGGGTCAGACACCAGAAGAAACTTCTCTGAGTTGGCCACAAACACCCTAAAATTTCCCAACTGGTTCTCCAAACTCTCTGCTTCTCTTCATAAAGGACAATGGGGCTTTGGGAGGACTGCCTGGCACACCTTAGCAAAGGCAGCAGCAGTCATCTGGACACGGCCCTCGTCAGAGGCATAGATCTTGAGATCATGACGGAAAGTGCTATGAAGACGAAGCAGCCCACAGCCTGGGAAGCCAGCATAGTCACCTGGGGGCAAAGGGGAGGACCAGGAATGCATGCCATAAATATCCACATGGAAGAAAGAATGCTCATTCCCTTTTAACTTCACCATTGCCTCAGTTCCTTCATTTCCCCAACTCACCCTCTAATCATTTTATCCCAATCCTACTAAGCATTTACTACCCCAAAACACTCACCCTGTCCTCCAGGGTACATGCAGCGAAAAGCTCGCCCCAGCTCCTCAGCCTGAACACGACCATCAGGAGTCAGTTCTCCACCCCATTTCAGTACCAGCAAAAGAGATGGGGCCAGAGCCTCCTGCTGTGGGTCTGCAGGAATAAAAGGCAGTGAATACGTTTAGACTAGAGGAAAATACTGAGGACATCTAAATATTAGGTCTTTTGAGGAGCCCAAAAAGGTAATCTGGGGTAGAGGTCATCTAACGGTTCAAGAATAAGAGAGCTGAATGATAATGGGAAGGGGGTATTATATTTTACCTTGCCCCTCATTAGAAGCTTTTATTCCATGAGGGTAGTAAGTCAACTGCACCTTCCGGTTGATGCCTGAGAAATGTCCATACCTGCAGAATAAATTCCTAGTTTACTTTCTATCCCAGCCCTCAATTATCACTGTTATTGGCTCCCTTTTCCTAACCCTTTTCTCACATCTCCAGCACAGACTTCAGCTGCTCTAGTTTCCCAGTCTTCTCTTCGATCTCACCGCTTGGTTCTTTCTCCAGTTCAGCCAATAGCAGCCTTGTGATGTCCAGCACCTCCTGGAGGAAATAACAGGGTATTCATGCAGAAGGCCAAGTCCTGGCCAAGTGACCCTTACATCCTAGTCTCTCACGGAAGCCCCCAATCCCATATCCTCTATCTTTCTCAATGCACTGCTTTTCCAAGCCAGATTCACCATTTTACCTGTAGCTGCTCAGGCCTCTTTAGTTTTAATTTCCCTGTCTTGTAGCCACCATGTTTTTCAAATAGACTAAAAAACCTGAAGAAATAAGGAGAAGCTTCAGTATGGCATGAGACAGTCAAAGCCTTTGGGGTCTGTCCCCCTCCCCTGCACCCATTTCCCTCACAATAACTGATCTGTCTATATTAGGGCACTCTTCCTACCTTGGGTGTGTCACTTCCATCTTCATTTTCTGCTTGGGGGTACGATCACCATGACGAATAATTGCAATGACACAACGAAGTTCCATCCTAAGATAGGAAGTATTTTTAGAGCCTCTCCCGAAACCCACCCCTCACCACCTCCTATTGTTTCATCCTATTTGATATGTCAAAGAACAGAGGAAAACTATCTGAGATTAAGAATATAGGTAAGTTCAATAAAACTGCCTAGAAGAGACCCAGGCTCCACTAGTCAGAATGCACAGGGTCAGAAAGAAACCACTGTTCTGACTTAGGTGCCTCAAGTAGATTATTCCAGGTTTTTTACTTTTGCTTACATAGTGCCAGATGTGGTAGGGACAATGGGAATGTCCTCGGCCTCCGTGGGGATGGACCATGGGATCTGGAACTGTGGGGCAAGTTCCCGCATGATGGTGTTCCTAGAAGGAGAAACGTGAAGAAGCTTTGTGAGATGCATGAACCAGAACTGCATGTATAAATAAAGCTCAACAAAACTAGCACATTGTAGAAGAATCCATTAATACAAAGTCTAAAAACATACAAAATACACCCCCAGATTTGTAGTAAAAATATTAATAAATGTATGGGATTGACAAACACCAAATACCTCTGGGTGGGAAGGAAGGAACCATAATTAGAGAGGGGTATGGAGGGGCTTCAACTATATTCTTAATATTTAATTTCATAAACTCAATGGTGAATACATGGATACATACCCTATTCATCACTTCTTATACATTTTTGATGTTTAAAGTATTACATGATGAATTTTTTAAAGTCAAATTATAAAATGGTATTATAGTATGATCACATTTAATAAAATAGTTTGCTTATACATGGCAGAAAAAGGCATACTATTGCATATAAGACTGTTAACAGTAATTACCTCTGGGTAGTGCAGTGTTGGGAAGGCAAGAGGGCTGAAGAGCCCTTTCTCTATTTTCCTTTTCACTTTTAAATCAATTTTACAACATTTAAATTAAAAAATACAACAAAGATTAAATTTAGAAAATAAAGTAAAAGCTTTCTCTCTTCTCTAAGCCCATTCTCCTCAGCCCAAACCACTGTGTCCCTTACCCTAGAATCTTGGCACAGTCATCATAGTATTTCATCGAATTCTTGACAAAACTGAAGCCATTGACGTCACACACAAAGGAATGACCATTGGCACGAAGAAGGTCAAAACCACAAACTGTTTGCTGCAGGGCAAAGATGCAAGATGAGGACAAGAGAGCCATTCTTTCTTCCCAGATTCCTCCTCCTATCTGTCTCCCTCATTACACAGCACCCTTCACCCCCATGGGGACTTCCTCTACCTTAAAAGCTACGCAGACTTTCCTGGCCACCAGCTTTTCCATGGCTGTCAGCATGACTGGATATCGAATCTCTTTCCCTTCACTGTCTCGTTCGACCTTCCCATCCAAAGCTGGCGATTTTCTAGCTTCAGCATGGGCATAATCCGGCCCAACTGTGTATACCTGCAGGTACATAGCATCACTGAGTATGCCCACAGCTCACCCTGCATATGAGAAGACAATATGAGTACTAGCTCTGTAGACTAGTGTCAGAATAAAAAAACAAAAAACACCCAGAGGATAAAGAACAAGGAGACTAACATTTTTCTTACTGAGCCCTACTCAACTGAAGTATCATTATGACGGTTTCTCCTAGGGACTCTAGCACTATTGCCTAGTCCAGGGGTGTCAAACTCATTTTCACCAGGGGCCACATCATCAGCTTCCCGGTTGCCTTCAGAGAGTTGAAATAATTTTAGGACTGTATAAATGTAACTATTCCTTAACTGTTAAGGAGTGGAAATTATATTCAGCCCTTTGAAGGCAACCACAAGACTGATGTACCCCTAGTGAAAATGAGTCTGACACCCTTGGTCTAGTCCTTATTAAGAAATAACTTACCGACATTATACCATCTTCCATGTTACCCTTGCCCTTGATCTGATAGTGACAATGTAAATACCAACTTTTCTTACCTGTTATCTTCACTGGAATATGAAAGCCACTCATATTCACACTTTATTTCCTATGACCCCCCCCACATGCTTCTACTCGCTCCCCAAGCACCCAAGCCCACCCAGACATTTATAACCTCTTAAATCCCCGTATCCACCATAACCTTGACATCTGTGCCATCTGTTGGCATAAACTCCTCATATATGTATGACCCTGTCTTTCGGACACTGCTCTCAGGAGAGTAAACGCTGCTTCGGCTGCCAATCTTTGAAAGGAAAAAAGAAAAAAAAAATTTTGCCTTTGGTTTATCCCCAAATCTTCTGGCTCCCCTCCCCACAACCTCCTTCTTGTCCTTCTATGGCTCTGATTCCCCCACACCTTACGAAAGAGGCGCTGGCTTCCTCCTCCAGCTGAGCTGGGGTAGTAGATGTAAACATTGTGGTCCTCTGCACTCACTGGCTTCTCCACAAAAGGCTTGGGAAAGACAGCTCCATTTACCTCTACGTGGTCTTCACCTTCTATCAGGTTGCACTCTGAAAGTACGTTTGTGGTCATTCCTAGGACCTAGGATTGTAGAATACTTCCAACTCCTTTTTCTCCAAGTTTTAATTTCCACAACCCTCAAATTTCTATGACTATGTCTTAGTAATAAATATGGTAATATCTATATGGTATATAGACATAAGACTAGCTATATAAAAGGCCCAAGGCTGAGTCCAAAGACCCATGCCTCTAACTCTACCCATAATCTATTAACCAAAGCCTCGCTTGGATAGGTGGCACATATGAGGTATCTAGAGGATAAAGTGCTGGGTTAAGTCATAGAAAGCAAGGCTGGGCAGGACTGGACAAGACCAGGTACTCACCCTCAGGTCGGGCAGGGTCACGGTTGAGCACAGCATATCGAGGCAGATCAATGCCCTCTTCCTGCAGGATCCGGTACACCTCCCTCCTGTCACCCCAGAATAAAATAGCTGGGAGAGGTAGGGATGGTGACTGCAGGAAGGAGCTAGGGATTTCATTTGCTTAAGAACTGGGAGATACTAGGGTGCAGAACTCAAGAGAATATGGTAAAAAACTAAACATGTTTAACTCTGCCCCTCCCAGAGTAGGTTCTCTAAACAGGCATACTCTCAGGGCCACCCGCCGCACCAGTCAACAGAAAGCCATACCTATCCTGAATGTAATACTGCATAGCCAGGTCATTGATAAGAAAGGGGTTTCGAAGCTTGGAGTAAGCAACAGCTTTGTCCAGAGGGAAGCCTGGGATAGAGAAAGGAAATAGAGATCAAAGAAGGAAAGTGAAAGAGAGTGAGAAAACAGCCAGAGAAATAGACATTAACTAAAGCTATTAGTAGCCATTGAACTCCTCTACCATCCCACCTTTTATCCTTCTGCTCAACTTCCCAAGTCTAGAATGTCCATCAAGGAAAAGTAAAAAAGAAATTATTTTTAGGATCCCTCCAGGAACTCAATTCTGTCAGAGATCCTAAGAATCTTAGAACTGTTCTGAAGTTCAGTACTGGCTTTACATTACCCACAGCAACTCCGCCAAGATGCAGGGAAGGCAAACCGCTTTGCACTGCTCTCTAGTGTGTCAGGAAGACCTGAAGCCCTCCTCAGTATTTGACAGTAGGAACCTTACTCCCCAGTCCAGTATTCCCCAAACCTTCCCCATTCCTTCCCATTTTCCTTCGCAGACTCTAACCTTTAGAGTGGAAAGAAATGAGGCAGTGGCAGGATGGCCAGTTTTCCACAGGTTCATTGAGGATCACATCTTCTCCCAGGATAATAACAGTCAGGTAGTCGAATCTGCAGAGTCGCTCTAGAATTTGGGTCATTGGCTTGGACTTGGATTTCTTGGTCATGGCACAGATGCCAACAATGATCTGAGGTTCAGGAGGCTACAGAGAGGAGGAGCTGTCACAAACACAGGGACTTCCCACCTGGACCATCCCTAGGAGGAACATCCCCATCAGGAACGCTGTCTCATCTCTTTAGGGCACAGAGTTTCTTGCCAGGGTAAAGGTTGCCTCCTAACTTAGGTCTAGATTTGGGTGCCTGTAGGGATTCCTACTGTTTACAGATAGGAGCATTTCCATAATAGGAAACGTGTGCTCAGGCAAAAGAGCCAGAGAACCAACAACCATGAGACAACGTGGTAGGGGCTTCAAAGGGAGGAAATTCGACCAGTCTCCACTCTCCCTCCCCTTAATCAGGATGAGGCTTATTTATGAGAGGGAGTCTATGCATTTGGAAAGAACAGCAAGGTGCCTCCATCCAAATGGAATCTCAATTCTCTATAACAGGGGTCCCAATACCAAGTTACATCATTTTCTCTAATCTTACCACTTCATCCTCCTCATCCTCAAGGAGCTCGCTGTCACTCTCTTCTGTCCTCATGCCTATTCGATGGGTGCCCAGCCCCTCATCTCCAGCTCCAAGGAAGAAGTGGGCTGTGGCACTCGCGCTCTCACTGGTCGGCAGTGACCACATCCCCGCCGGAGCACCCACTCATCCCGCTCTGCTGTGGAGGGTTTCCCATTAGCTCAGAATCCAAGCCCCACAGCAGTAGGCGTGGGTGGGGGGTGGGGGATGAGGAAATAAGAGGGAACTACAAGGGAACTAGGGTAAACAAACAAAGCTATGGTAAGAAGGATCACCAGGAAAGGAGACACAGGTTAGACATGAAAAGACAGGAGTCTCCCTTTTAGTCCCTGCTCATCCCACCTCCAACTGTGAGACCGATAAGAGGATCAGTAGATTAACCCTTACAGTGCTGGCATGTCCCTGATTCTGCCAGCAGAAAACAACCGTTAACTCCAGTAGCAAATGGAAAAGGCAGTTCCTCATGGAAGGCCACTGTTGATTCCTAGGAGAAAAGGTTAAAGTGACATTTCAAACTCTGAATTCATTCCAAAATGTTCCTAGCCCTTATCCACTCCCCCACAGTAGTGTTGAACTCAGTGATTTAATTCAACGGCAGAGGGATGAGAAACTTCAGCTGCCCTTGCCCTTAACCCCCATTTTCAGTCCTACCAATTGATTAACTCAAAAAAATTTTATTAAAAGCACTATATGTTCTAAATATTATCAGAACATTAAAATTCTGTTCCCCTTGTCTCTTCTTCATCTGCTCCACCTTAAAAGACAGATGCCCAAGTTCAAAAAAATCTGTTCCAGGAAAAAAGTCTGATACTGGTTGTGAGGTTGAGGATACAGGCACCTGATATAACAGCCTCCAACCCATTCTCAAACTGAAATTTCAATCTTCTATCTACCATCTTCCGGTACTAAAAACCCAAGTCTGGTCTAGGCCAAGGTCCCTCACAAAAGAAGCTACAGTGGAAAAAAAAATCCTGCCTAGAATCAGAACAACCTGGCAGTTTTACTTCTGCATGCATATAATTACAGTAGTGGTGCTTAACCAACTGTGAATATGCTGTGCAGGGGACATTTGCAGGAGACATTTTTACTGTCACATCTGGGAAGGTGCTATCGGCATCTGGTCAGTAGACACCAGGGGTGCTGCTAAATATTCTAAATGCATAGGGTATTCCCCCACAACAAAGAAGTATGCAGTATAAAATATTAGTAGTACCAAGGTTGAGAAACCCTGCTGTAGAGAAACTCTCCCACATAAGATATGTGCAAGGATGTTCATAACCTCATTGTTAGTAATGGGAAAAACTAAAAACAACTTACATGCCACAAGTGGAAGAATGGATAAATATAATGTAGTATATACAAATGATAGACTAACAGCAATTTTGAAAAATGAACCAAGTGTCATGGGCAGCTTCCAAAAATGAACTGTAGAAATACATATAGCATAGTTCCATTTGAAATAAAAATATTACATAAGTTTATTACTGAATTTATAAGTAGTAGAAATATAAAAAAGGACTGGAAAGACAAACATCAAATTCATGATGGTGGTCACCTCTGAGGAGAGAGAAGAATGGAACTGAGAAGAATTCAAATGGAACTTCACAAGCCTATCTTCTAATGTTTATTTCAACCTTAAAATTCTAAAGCAAATTATACAAAAGGTTAACATTTATTACTACTAAATTGTGGGGATGAGTATGTTACTTTTTTCCAAAAATAAAATTGAGTGACACATCAGTAACTTTCCACATTCTCCAAAAGTTCTCAGAAATACTGACTGATGACCCTTAAGAAAAGCCACAAACTCCTTAAGTTGGTCTTAATTTAGGGGTTAATTTAGTCTTATAGAATTTTAAAATAGCCTTCAATAATAATTACTTTCTATATTTTTATTTAAACCCTTCCATTACAAGTGGGAGTTGCAGCTTTGATTAGAAAGGTACAATTAACCTTTATATAAACCTCGACCTTTCCAGTCTTCACCATCTGCTTGTTGTCTCCCTTGCTCAACCACCCTGGGTGCACAATATTCTCCTTAGACATAACATTTCCAGTTGTCTGCTGCAGGATATATACATGCGTGTGCATCCTTTCCGGATTAATACACTACTGCTTTTCAGTGACCTGACCCAATTTCCATGACTTGTGGTATTCCTATAAAGTCCCTGTATAGTTTAAGCATGCATAATTTTGTTGCAATCTTTATCCTTTCTCTGAAGCAGGAGCTTTTTCCTCATGTTTAAGATTCTTAACCTTTCACCCTTTTTCCCACTCAGTCCGTCCTGGTTTTCTATGGAATGTACAGTCATGTTCTTGAAATTCTGTTACAACTGTGTAACAGGGGATAGTAACAGAAAGGGAAAGGAGAGTCTGTTCACAAAAAAGATGAAAGGTCCAACTCCATAGTTAACAAAGCAAAAATAGAAGCCTGACAGAAATAGCTATGAAATAAGCCAGGGTTTATTTAGATGTACCTCGGGGAGAAGGTTGGACTTAATGTGGTGTTCCAAGAGCCAGCCATTCCCCTGTTTTCTGTGCTCTTTTCCCATTGCCTCTCACCCAACTTTGTTGCGAACGAAAACTTCAGACTACATTAGGTTAAAGGGCCGTCTCACTGTAGACGGAAGACAGGAAGGGAGGAAGGGAGGGAGGGAGAAGATAGGTAGGGAAGGAGAGAGGGAGGGGCAGTTGGGCAATCTTCTCAGGAACACGTATGCTAAATCAGATCTGGAGAAGGGGTAACTTCTTTACCCCTTAGAATTTAAGGCTGCTTGCAGTCGTCTTCTAATTTCCTTAATCACCATCGCCTTGATGGAGGGCTCCACCAATATTGAGTTCAGGCGTGAGTACTTCCAACACTGTCTCCTTCCCTTAGTTCCTTCTTGATGCAATATTTTTAATCCTTCATACATACCCTTATTCTGACATTGATGAACTGTGCTGATGCCCTTGTCCTCAGTATCAACTCATACTGCCTTCTTTCCCCAACTTGCTAAAATGACTCTTCATTAACTCCCCTAACCACTTCCATCACTGATCAACTCATCCAGTTAATAATCGAACTATCCTCTCACTCACTGGTTCCCCAGCATTAAACAGTCCTTCAAACTCTCGGATGAGTCACCACACTCGGTGACATATTTATATGAAACCCTCAGTGATCCCCCACAAGGACTGCCCGAGATTCATTCTTTCCCCACACTGCCCCTCTACAGACTCCCGTTCTCCTCTCTCTGCCAGGACCCCTTCCTCAAGCTGACCCTCCGTCTGACTCCACTCCCACTCCTCACGGACTCCCCGGCCGGACCTCCTCCCGCGCCAGCTCCTCTGCTCACGCAGACCCTCGCGCGTGCCTCCTCTCGCCGACCCTCCTCTGTCCTCTCCTCGCAGAGCTGCCGGGCACGGATGCCGCCCTTCGGTCCGGACTCCGCTAGCCTTTGCCCGCCCCCGCCTAACCCGCTCACTCTCCCTACGGTGACATTGAGGCCTGTCCGCAGTACCCCTTTCCGCAGCTGCCCCCAGCCGCTACTAACCAAAGTCCTCTGCACCAACCAAGCCCACTTTCCCCAGCCCACCCCCTCAGATACCGCCCCCAGCCCCCAGCCACTCCCCCACCGCCCCCGGCCCTCACTCACCCGCCTCCCTACGCTCGCGCAGCCAAACATGCAGGCAGCGACACCTGACAGCAGCCCAATCAAAGAGCGACTTCTCTGCGATGCCACCAATCAGCGGAGGGCGCGCACCGGCAACACAGTCAGGCTGCGTTGGCCGGCGCTTCTGCGCGGAGGAGAGTGGCCCCTAGTGGCTCTGTGGAGGAAGTGCAACCTGATGCTCCCTCTGATTTCTAACTGCGTGGCCGCACTCCAGATGCGTGGTCTAGACAGATACCTTGCAGTGAGACTGAGAAGGTGGGATGCGAGGGGGTGAAAGAGCAGGAAGCCAGATGCAGAGGAAGAGACAGAGTTTGTGCCTTTGCACTTCCTTGACAAAACTAGGTGTTTTGTTTGTTTGTTTGTTTGTTTGTTTGTTTTGGAAAAAACAGGATATGGTATACCTACTTAAGAGATGCAATAAATGTAAGTTGGAAATGTTGACAGATGTACACAAGTGAAGAGGAGACTGGAGACAAAAAGAGAGACAAAGAGAGAAACAGATCAGAAAGTTAAGGGACGGGACAAAAAGACTTAATTATGGAGGAGTCAGGTAAATGGATGGACATGGAAGACTGAACATGTTGATTTCTAACTCCTCATTTTGCTTTCTCTCTTCCCTCTAGATTTGATTGACTCCTGGCCTTGCCTTTAATAGCTGTGCATCCTTGGACAAGTCACTGAATCTCCCTCAGCCTCCATTTTCTCATCTGTAAAATAATGGAATTAAAACCTAACTCAAAATGTGCTGATTGCATGAAAGCATTTTTATATATGTTTGTATTGTTATTCTCATTGCAGCTTCACTTAGATGTCCCCGATCGAAACAATCCCAAGTTCCTTAGTTCTTCTCTGAACCCTTTGGGATCTTACCACTTTTTCAGTCAGGTGCCTATTGAATGTAATGATACTGACCCCAAGGCTTCCCAAATGGGATAGAGATGATTCTAGGGACTGACTAGAAGAGAACTAGATGCCTCCTTAGTTCACACTCAGGCTCATATCCCTTGCACCACTCTAACTCTTCAAACAAGTTATTAAAGCAACTTCTAAGTAATTAACTTGTTTTCTCATCCTCCTGAAAATGTAGACTCAGTCTCTAGCCATCCATTGGAACAATTCAATTCAATTCAATGAAATAATACATGCCAGAGTTCCTTGTAATTGTATAATGCTTTATAAATATGAAACATTATTGGTAATACTTATTATTAAATAAGTACCATATATAGATTACTTACCACATGCTGTAGGAAAAAATTTAAGTGAATATTAATACATTATGGTCTTTTGGAGCCTCACAGGAAATAAGAAATGTATACAAATACCTATCTTTTCTCAGTGGAGCTATTACTCAAATTTAGGCAGGTACTTTCCAAACTTGAGTGATTTCTTTACTCCTCTAGGCAAGTCTTATTTTTCCTTCTGTAATTCTCTCTTTCTGCTCCCTTCCTCTTTAATCTTAGTAGCCACCCTCTCAATCAAATAACCCTGCTGTTCTGGAAGGTTATCTCCCTCCTTTATCAGGGTAAGTATACACCATTCCAAGTAATTATATTTGCTTACTCATAGCTACTCCTCAATCTAGATAATGAGCCTCCACAACACAGGTAACATTTTGCGTTTCTGCAAGTGACCACACATCAACTGCAGAATTCAATAATTGCTCTCCCACCAGGAGTAGGAGTTAAGTGATAAACCCAACAGCGAGGTGGATGGCTTTTACGGATACTCACAAATGAGGAAAGCAGGAAAAGGAACACAAGGGAAGCCTGAGAAGAATGAAAGGAATGAGAGTATAAGGGTGGGGCTCATCATCGAGGCCAAAGGACATTGTGAAAAAAATTTCTCTTTCTCGACTACTCTCCTCTAAGAGTTTCAAGAATCTTATTGTCTTGTGGGTACACCAACGTAGTTGAGGGAAGGGACTAATGCCACCATGCCTACCCCACTTTAACTGACCCTCTGTACTGATGCCCCATGTCTCTATTTCAGCTGCAACATTTACTCTCCTTTCTGCCAAGACAAAGGTCATCACACCAAAGTTACACTTGGAGCTGCAGGAACAAAGCTCTCTTAAATCTAAGGAGAGAGAGGAGGAGAGGAGACCAGAAAGAAGGTAAAGATTTCCTGGAGACTTTACGCCCTTGGACACCACTACACCTTACACTCTGGATTACACAGCATTAGGGAGCCGAGAGAGAGGAAACACATGTGGTGCTTGGAAACCTGTGCCTGCCTGTTCCTCCTACACCCAGTCATCTCACCACACCCTTCACCTCACGTTACACTCCAGTCCAGCCCAGGAACTGGGAAACTCAAAGAGAGGAGAGAACAAAGAGGAAAGTAACAACTCCTTGCCCACCCCAACCCTCACGTCGGTGCTTTGGACAGGTAAGCAAGGTTGCAGACACTACTCAGAAGGAGTCCTGTGAGCAGCAAACAGTCTGAGCCCGGAAACGACTTAGAGAAGGAAAAGATCAAAAGTGGAATAGGGGCTAGAAAGAAGGGCGGAGGAGGAAAAAAGTGGGGGATCCTAAGAAGTGTAGGCGGGATATAGCAGGGCTTCAGATTAGGCGTCAGGGTCCGGGTTGGGGAACACAGCGTGGATGCGATAAGAGTTCCTGCTTTCCCTGATTCCTCTCAGCCTTGTAAAGAGCACAGGTGTGAAGGGAGGAGCTTTAGTCCTCTTCCTGGTTCTAAAGAAAAGGTGACCTTGAACTAACGGGTGTCTTTCCCAGTCTCTGCCTCTAACTCTTTCTCTGTATCTTCATATGGTATTTTTGTTTATTCCACGGTTTTCCGCGGCCTGGGAAGACGGAGAGGTTGTTGGGGCAGGCCGAAAACAGAGAAGAGGTTGGGCAATGTTATCCTTTTATACCCCTAGAGTGACGAATCGGGTTTCCAGTTAAACCGAGAGGCTTGGGGGAAGGGTGTTCCGACAGACCCCTTGGGTGCTGTTCCTCTCTTTGGTGCTGAAATCTGGACAACCTCATCCCAGGGGTGCAGATCTCCGGCCCCCCTAATCTACCTGGCAGATGCTGCCCACCTCCGCCTCCGCACACCTAGCACAGAGGCAGGCGGGAAGGCGGGGTCTGAGTGAGCCCCACCCCTGGAGACTGCGGCTGGGGCCTCCCTCTCGCCGCCGCCAGCCTGCCAGTCGTTAGCTCATTGCGCCTCTCCCGCAGTCTGGTTGGTACCGGCTCCCCTCCAGCCTTCACTCTGGGCCCCATTTCGGCCCCAGCCTTGCACCCAGTTCCAGTCCTCAGTCCTTCCCGGTTTTGCCCCAAGCCAGCTCCTGCGCAGGCATTCCTCAGGAGGATCCTCAAGCCATGGCTGGTCCCTTCTCTCGTCTGCTGTCTGCCCGCCCAGGGCTCAGGCTCCTGGCTTTGGCCGGAGCTGGATCTCTAGCTGCTGGGTTTCTGCTCCGCCCGGAACCTGTACGAGCCGCCAGCGAACGACGGAGGCTGTATCCCCCAAGGTATCAGTGTCTGAGCCTCTACCCCACCCCCGGGAAGTGGGAATGAGAACAAAGATGGGGATGGAGATGAGGACCAGGGCAACGGAGAAGGGCTATAATCTCGAAGGCTCTGGAGTGGGGTGCTATACCGTCTGGAGATCTCAGTGGGGTAGGGGTGGAAGCTAAAGCATTCCTGGGGACTGTAACCTGCAGTCTCTACCCTTAAGACCAGCTCTGCTTATATGACTTCTGGCTGCATCCACTCTGTCCAAATTGAGAGATCAGGAACTATCCTTTTTTATCTCCTTCATCTTTTCTTGATCTCCCCCATTTCCTGAATTTTCCTGCTCAGTCTTTCCCCTCCCCCATTCGTATTCTTATGCTCTTGGGATGAAAGAATTGAGCAGATCTGGGGGAATTGAGCTGGCCAGTCAGAGAAAGCAGAACTGTTGGGAAAGAATAGATCATGAAACTCCCTAATGAGATTACCAAGGTTAGCCTCCCTATAATCTCCCCTACTCCCAAGGAGCACAGCCAGACACAGCTAACTGGACAGCTCCTAGCTGACTGCCCTGGGTCTAGGCCACTTGTACTCTCTCTCCATGGTTACTGGGTACCCCCTCCCTAGTGCTGAGTACCCAGACCTCCGAAAGCACAACAACTGCATGGCCAGTCACCTGACCCCAGCACTCTATGCCCGGCTCTGCGACAAGACCACACCCACTGGTTGGACGCTAGATCAGTGTATCCAGACTGGCGTGGACAACCCCGGCCACCCCTTCATCAAGACTGTGGGCATGGTAGCTGGAGATGAGGAGACCTATGAGGTAGGGGGCCCCCATAGTTTCCCTGGTGATCCAGCTCATCTTCCCAGTGATCCCAGCTCCTTCCCCCTAAAAACCCCTTACTTACCCTTGAAACTGTACCATCTATACTTATGTTTTCTGACCCAGTGAAATCAATCCACATTTAAAGACTGGGAGGTGATACTCTCTCCTTAACTACCCTCTTCCTCTTAATTCCCCCTCAGGTATTTGCTGAGCTGTTTGACCCCGTTATCCAAGAGCGACACAATGGATATGACCCCCAGACAATGAAACACACCACTGACCTGGATGCCAGCAAGGTGGGTCAGAAATTCCACTTCTGATTTGTATTGCCTTATGTACAATACTCTGTTTCTCCAATACTTAGTTATTTCCTGACTCATGGTCATTATACCACTGAGCTTTTAGTCTTGGTGTGGAGAAAGCATTTTAAGCTGCAGATATGGAGAGGAGAGGGTGGATGAGAATGACCATACTGCAAGGTGGGCAGTTTGGAGGAGGGAATCATGCTGCCCCCATCAGTTGGGGTGCTTGTCCAATGGGCTTCTCCTTCTCTAGTTCTTAAAAAGATTTTTCCTTCCCCCCCCCAACTCTCTGATACCATACACTGTGTTTCTGTGACTTATATTAATTTCTCTTATTCCACAGATCCGTTCTGGCTACTTTGATGAGAGGTATGTATTGTCCTCAAGAGTTAGAACTGGCCGGAGTATCCGGGGACTCAGTCTGCCTCCAGCTTGTACTCGGGCAGAGCGACGAGAGGTGGAACGTGTTGTGGTGGACGCACTGAGTGGCCTGAAGGGTGACCTAGCTGGTCGTTATTATCGGCTCAGTGAGATGACAGAAGCTGAGCAGCAGCAACTTATTGATGTGAGGGGCCTTGAGAGGGACCGTGGGGGGGGGGAGCAGATGGAAAGAATAGTCAGAGGGGAAGCTGGGCCAGATGAGATAGAAGTGCTTTGGGAGGCTTAGGGAGAGAATTGTTAATCTAAGCCCCTTTACTCTCCCAGGACCACTTCCTATTTGATAAGCCTGTGTCCCCATTGCTGACTGCAGCAGGAATGGCTCGAGACTGGCCAGATGCTCGTGGGATCTGGTATGAGGCTTACCTTACCTCTTTTGTCCCTATGTCCTCATAAGTGCCTTTCCCCCTGTATCTCCTCCAATTCTTGCCCTGACTATTGATCCCTATCCTTCCCTCTCTTCTGCCCTCAGGCATAATAATGAGAAGAGCTTTTTGATCTGGGTAAATGAGGAAGATCATACACGGGTTATCTCCATGGAGAAGGGTGGCAACATGAAGAAAGTGTTTGAAAGATTCTGCCGAGGCCTCAAAGAGGTTGGAGAAGAGTATATAAAGGAACTGGGGGGGGGGGGCATAAGAAAAATACAAATGCTAGCACATATAGATTGACCATGTACTTTATCAACCAACCCAGACACCTTTGATAGTGAAAAAGATCACTATTAATCACTGCAGGACAATAGGTATAAATCAGGACTGTCCAGGGGGCACTTGGGTATATGGGCATCCTAAGAATAGGAAGAGAGAATGCCAGGAGTCTAAGAAAATAAATAAAGTAGCTGCCATATAATCTGAAGAAGGAATAATAGGTGGTAGGTCAATGCCTAGGGCGTGTGGTGTGGGATGGTGGGTGTGCAGATAAAGAAAAGGTTTGAGCCTGGCTGATATATGTTCCTGTGTGCTCCTGATTCTAGTGTAACCACCCAGTTCTGAGCTGAGTTAGGCCTCGACTTTGGATTCTGTCAGTTCTCCTAAAGTGTCACGCCTAAGTTTTAAACTGAGAGTGGATGGGAGGGGAGACGGAGAGAAGGTGGAGGATGAAATGGCTTAAGAAGCTCCAGCAGGTTTGGGGCTCTATCTGAAGGGTTGAAATGAATCCTCAATCCTGTATGGATTGGGTATCCATAGTCAATTCTAGATTAAAAATTTCAATAAACCAAATTCTTATTGTATGTTCTCATATATACAGTTCTATTTTGGACTTATGAAGAGAGAAAGAGCACTCTTTTTTAGACTTCAGCTGGGAAATTTCTCCTGCTTTTGGCAAGTAATAGATAGCATATTCTGACTGCAAATGAATAGAGGAGTACTTTTAAAGTTATGTGCCACAGGTTCCTCATCTGTAAAATTAGGAGAATAAGACTTCCTACATTATAGGTTGTTGTGGGGGTTAAATGAGATCATGAATATAAAGTACCTGGCTCATAGTAAGTGTTCAATAAGGTTTAGCTGCTGTTATTATTCTAGGTGGAAGGGTTTCCCCACGTTCAGCATGTAAGATATCCCCCTAGGCTATGGTTCTCCCTGAACTATGAACAGGGTCCCCTTTATTCATGGGAGGTAGTGGTCTTCATGTCCATCACTCTGGCAGATCTCCTGTCTCTTCAACCCTAATAGTCATGTTCATGGTTAGGATATTTACGTGAAACAAAAACACTCTTCCAACTTTTCCCCACCCCTACACACCTTTGAGTCTGGCCCTTCTGCACTTTTTCTCTGCTTTCTGGTTTGTACTCCTTCCCAGCTAACAGAAGGCTCTCTTGTCTCTTCCTGTTGCAAAGCCTGCTCCTGTCTGAAAGGACCCTCCCAAGCTCTAGGCTCATTAGCAAAACAAAAAATAATCAATGCATGCAGAGTTCATTGAATAATCGACTCTTTCTCAGTTCATTTCAACATTTCCATTTCCCTACTAGCCCATCCTTAATGCATCATTCCCTCAAGTTTCTCTTCTTCCACACACAAGGTATTTTTATGGGATCTCATCATTGTTGGCTTAGCTTGTATGCAAAATGATAAAAAACCATTTCCGTCCCCAAAAAACAAAAACCAAACACAAAACTGAGCAATGTCATTCTTTCACATCCCAAGTTTCTGGTTCTAGATATATATTTACAGTTCCTGTGGGTCTAGATAAGGAAGGGTCCATATATTCCTGACTTTTCACTAACAGCCTTTGTGAACTCAGGTGGAACGGCTGATCCAGGAGCGTGGCTGGGAATTCATGTGGAATGAGCGTTTGGGATACATCTTGACCTGTCCGTCTAACCTGGGCACTGGACTTCGAGCAGGAGTACACATCAAACTGCCCCTGCTAAGCAAAGTAAAGGAGTTAAGGAGTTAGAGAGGGGTGTGAATGAAAAAGGTGGCTGTGTGTGGATGAGGGAGTGGGTAATTTGGAAAGGAGCCAGACATACTATGGCTAAAGGATCTGGAAAAGAGCTCTGAGCAGGTTTGGGGCCTTCTCAGGTAGATCTAGTCTCTTTCCCTATTGACCCTGCTCCCAATCCCTATCTCCCCTCTAGGATAGCCGCTTCCCAAAGATCCTGGAGAACCTAAGGCTCCAAAAGCGTGGCACTGGAGGAGTGGACACCGCTGCTACAGGCAGCATCTTTGACATCTCTAATTTGGACCGACTGGGCAAGTCAGAGGTGAGAGCTTTAGAGATTAGGGTGGGGAGAGGTGTAGGTCTGTGGGGGTTGAGATATGACAGTAAATGTGTCAAGAGTATAATAGAATCTGAAATAAAATTTAGGTTGAGTAGGGAGGCAATTGGAAATGAATTCTCAGAGCAGGCAAATTGGTGCTAAAGAAACTCAGGTTGTGGAAGCAGAGATCAAGGATTACTGTCCTTTAGGTGGAGCTGGTGCAACTGGTCATCGATGGAGTAAACTATCTGATTGACTGTGAACGGCGCCTGGAGAGAGGCCAGGATATCCGCATCCCTCCACCTCTCGCCCATAACAAGCATTAACTCCCCATCCTCAACAGATAACTCAAGATCTCTGGGACTTCTGCCCATTCTAATGGTGGCCCATTCCACTTGCCCTGGTTGCCCCCCACTTCTTTTGTCCCAGTAAAGACACCTTGCTATGCTCTAGCTGTCTCTTATTTGTAATGATGGGGTGAGGAGGGAGCAGTCTCTATGAAGGAAAAGGGGCAATAGGGTTATTTATGATGGAAAGAGACTCCAGATATGGTATGTCAGATGCTTATTCTCAGTTGGGTAGAAAGCATCAGCATTTTACCTATATCACTCATCAGCTTCCTGAAAACAATTAGAATATACTTCTATCTGCACTTTATTCACTATGACTTAAGATTTCTTTGTTTATATATTGAGACAGGCTCACAGCAGGTTGCCAAGGAAGCAGATGGCTAAGGTCAGGACCCAGGAGGGTTGTGACAAATCCTGGAGGGCCAAGGCTGTGCTTCGACCTATAATGAGACAGAGAATGGAAGGAATGTTACAACTATAGTCCCCAGGAGCCACTGATACTTGCAAACTAACTGCCTGTATACCCCTTCACTCCAGGAATCTCCCTGGGTTCATTTTAAGAATCAGATGGCACCAAGCTAGGAGTCAGATTCTGGGTCAGGAGATGGAGGGTCAAGCTGTGCAGCTGGAAACTCACCCAGCTGTTCTGGAATTTCCATCCCCTCATGCTGGGCCCAGGCAACTGCTTGTCGCTGCTCAGGACTCAGAAAGGCCATTTGCTCAGGAGTGACAGCCACAGCCTGAACACTGGTGAGACTAGACAGCTGGGTGGGGCTGAACACCACCTGGGGATGGGGAAGTGATTGGTATATCCATTGGAGCCCCAGATGGGCTCTGGTTCTCTTGTGGTCACCCCAGGTCTGAGTTCATCAATACTTACAGCAAATTTAGGAGCAGGAATGACAGAAATGGCCAGAGGGGTAAGGCCCTGGATCTGTTCCCGCAGCAGTGCTGAAAGAGCCATGTCTGGGATCCCAGCTGTTGAAACAAGTGGGATGGGCATCCAAAAGTTGTCTTAGCCTGGCCTCTTCCAACCTATAGACCTCCTCCTACCACTCTCCACATACCCTACCACAGACTTTCTCCAACCTCTCATTTAAATGCCCTCCCAGGCTTCCACTGCGAATTCCAGAGAAGCTGTTCACCCATGGTATGGAAATCAATACCTGACAACTAGCATCAGCAGTGGCCCAGCCTCTGTACCTGCTATTGTGCCAATTTCAGTGAAGATCTCAGGCCCCCAGTTACTGACTGGGCCAAAACCACCAGGCAGCACAAGGAGTTGGGCCAGAACCTCCAGCTGGTCCTCTGAGCACTGGAGATGCAGGTTGCCCAGGAAGAGAGCTGCTTGACTATAGAAGAGTGAGGAGAAGGGAGAAGGATTCAGCCATGGTGATCAGCTCTATGGTCATGAATAGGGATAGAGATGGCTTCAAGTGAGGTCCCTCCTTCCATGGGACCACTTTTCATGATCCTTCCCTCCCAAGTGAGCCCACCTTTACCCAACACTACCACCCACATCCCTCCCTCCACAGGTGACCTAAATTCCCAACTGTTGATATGCTGTAGCTCCTCTGGTCGCAGTCCACAGAGTGTGTAACCCAGTGCAGTCAGGTGTAGGAAGTCCAGATGGCTCATGTGCCGGCCACTCTGCCGCAAGAAACTGGAGACCACAACCCGGAGCTGAGGTGGAGGGCAAAGGATAAGGATAGAAATCATGGGGAATTAATGGATGGGGAAGTGATTAGGGAAGTGACATGTGCTACCAAATTATATTCTTTTATTATTAAGACCTAAAGATCCAATAGTCATGGGGAAGGTCGAGTATCTAAAAAAGAGAAAGACAGAAAAAGAGAGAAAAGAGGCAGGAGGGAGTGTTATGTGTCCAGGACCTCAGAGTGAATAAATCACAGTTTCTAAGGCTGCTAGTATGAGGTATTAAGAAAAAAAATACAAAGAAAGATCATTCAGAATCATAGAAAAAAATTCTTGGGCTTTACATGACCAAAGGACTTTATGGGGTGGATTTTGGAAGGTGGTAAGGAGGAAGTAGTTGTTACCTGAAAAGAACTCCAGCCATCTATCTGCCCAAGGGTGCTCAGCACTCCCCAGTCCACCAGGATTAGCTCCTGTAGTTCCCGCTCTCCTAGACCTATTAATAGCCGACCTAGCTGCAGGATCTGCTCAGGACGAAATCCCCGTGGGGGGCCCCACAACTATGGAGAAAGGGTAGAAACGTGAATGGAAAAAGCACTGGACTAGTAGTCAGAATGCTGGGTGTTAGCCTTGCCTCTGACCTTGGCTGTGTAACTCTAGGCAAAGCACATGCCTTCTCTGGGTCTTAGTTTCCTCAACTATAAAATAAAAGGGTTGGACTAAAGTTCCTCTGACTAAGCTGTTATTGGAAGATTCTAGATTCTCAGTAGGAAAAAATAGCAAACTCCAGTTCATGAGTTCTAAACTATTATGTGAACCAGACTCACCTGTTAAAATGCAGATGCTCATACCCTATCATCAGAGAGTCTTCTTCAGTGTTTCTAGCATGGGACTCTGGCATCAGCATTTCAAAAACCTACTCCCCAGATGATTTCGATGCACACTAAAGTTTGGTAATCACTGCTCTAGGTTCTCTCCATTGTACTAACTTTTTTTCCTCAGTATTCATCCCTTTTGAATTCCTATTCAGGAGCCTAACATTTTTTTTTGTCTCTGGAGGTTTCTTTTTTTTTGGCGGGGGGGGGGGGGAGAGTGGGAGGGAGGTTTGCAAAACTTTAAGCCCTGGCCAGGTAGCTCAGTTTAGAGCATCATCTCTGTATGTCAGGTTTGTGGGTTCACTTTCCTGTCAGGGCACATAAAAGAAGAAACCAATGAGTGCATAAATAAATGAAAAAAGAAGTCAATGTTTCTTTATCTCTCTCCCCTTCCCCCCTCTAATATCAATAAATAAAAACTTTAAAGAAATATTTTTCAACTACAGATGACATACAATATTATATTAGCTTCATGTTACAACATGAATATTGTTAAATATTTTAAAATTTTTTCTTCTTTTTAAAAAGATTTTATTTATTTATTTTTAGAGAGAAGGAGAGGGAAAGGGAAAGAGAAAGAGAGGGAGAGAAACATCAATATGTGATTGCCTCTTGCACTCCCCCTACTGGGGACCTGGCCTGCAACCTAGGTATGTGCTCTAATTGGGAATCAAATTGGCAACCTTTTGGTTTACAGCCCACTCTCAATTCACTGAGCTACACCAGCCAGGGCAGTACACATTTATATAACTTACAAAGTAATCGCCCAGGTAGGTCTGCTATCCATCTGGCACCATACATAGTTAATACAAAATTATTGATTATATTATCTATGCTATATTTACATCCCTATGACTATTTTTATAACTAGCGATTTGTACTTCTCAATCCCTTCACCTTTTTCACCCACCCCCCCAAGCCTCCCCTTCCATGTGGAGACCATTAATTTGTTCTCTGTATTTATGACTTTTTTGTTGTTCATTTAGTTTGCTCTTTAGATTCCACATGTAAGTGAAATCATATGGGATTTGTCTTCCTCTGTCTGACTTATTTCACTTAGCATAATAGCCTTTAGGTTCATCAGTGTTGTCAAAAATGGCAATATTTCATTCTCTTTTATGGCCAAGTAATATTCCATTGAATATATGTACCAAACCCTCTAATTTTTCAATCTCCTTTTACCCCACCTCTCATCTCCCTATTCATTCACTTGTTTTCCACACCCAATCAACTTTCTCATGTTTCACCACCCCCAACCCCAATTGGCCTCCCAACCCTAACCTGTTTTGCCTTGCCCATCGCTGCTCGTAGTTCCTCAGGCCCAAGTCCTGGGTCTCCTGCAAATAGTGCCAGACAGTCCTCAAAGTCTGAGAGCTCCATCTGTGCAATCTGAGTTGCAGACCAGGCTGCTGGAAATGTCCCCCGTATATCTGCACAATTTGGCACAGGTTCTGAAGGGTGAAGGCAGGGCCAGGGTCAGTGCAGTATTAGAATATCCTGTACTTTAGAGAACTATAGAAGGAATGACCCCTCCGACCTTTGGAGGATTGGTCAGTGTGAACAGTAGGGGTCAAGGGATTCCTATAGTCAAAGATTTATAGGACACACAGGATATTAGAACAACTGACTGGAGAGAACAACCCCCACATTGTGTAGATGGAACACTGAGGGTGTTGCCTAGGGATTTAACGGCAGATCTAGACCCAGGACCCTAGCCCCACAGTGTCTCCTTTCTACACCCTAAGCTTCTTCCCCACAGAGAAGAACTTTCAGCTGTTAACAAACAGGGAGAAGAGAGCAGGAAAAAGGGAGTCCTGGGCCAATAATGTAATGAGTTATAAATTCTCAGAGCTATATAGAAGAGATCTTGAAAAGCATCCTTTTGACCCCTGAGCTTTATATATTAGGAAGCCCAAGTCCAGAGAGCAGGTGTGAAAATTTGTTCAAAGGACACACCACACCTAGAGCCCCAACTTCTGATTGCACTGTTGCATAGAGCTATGAGTATTTAAGTAGTTTCACCTGGAAGATAATCTGCAGCAGGCCGTACAACCCCAGCTACCAGAGCCGCTTTCTTGGGAGCAAGCTGTGGCACCCCACACAACTGTCCAGCTCTGCTCTGTTCCCAGCTCTGCTGCTTCTCCAGAAGCCGCTCCAGGGTCTCTGGGCCCAAGGCCTCCTGTGTAAGAAGGTAGAGGGGAGGTGGGGAGATCTGGGCAGGTCAGGGCCAGCTGCTGCAGCTCTAATTTCCAAAGTCCTATCTTTTTTTAACAGTCTCCCCAAGGTTTAGGCTTTACATTCTCTGTCCTCAACGTTTTTGGCTTTTGCTTCCCAGAACCAGCTCACCAATCCCCTCTCTGTTCTTACTCCCTCCCTTGTTCCTTCACCTCACCCTGGGGATCAAGGAAATCTCCTCAGTAGACAGAGTGAACACTAGGCGTCCAGCTTGCTCTATCTCATCCTGGCTCCACAACTCTGGTTTCCTGGGAGACAAGAAGAAAATCAGGGGCTGGGATGCTGAGGGAACTGTAAGAAAAAGGAAGGAGAAAAGAGGACATGCTAGGATTGA